TGGCAGTCTCAGATGAAAACACGTGCGGGAGGTGCCATGTAATGACCTTGAGATTTAGCATCTTTCAATAGCAATAAGCCTATAATGGCAGCTAATAACTTTTAATTACTCACATGTATGATTGGTCTTACATCTATCCCTGAGTATTTAGTAGCAATATAATTGATTGAAAGTCTGGCAATTGGGAAGCTTTTAATACTAAACAACTTATTATTTTGATAATAGACATAATAATAAACATGATGTCAAAGTTTCTACAAAATTTGATTTTTGTTAAATGCAAGGAACATTGTACAACTATGTTCAATATGGATAAACAGATACAGTAATTAATTAATATCTGTATATCAGTACTATAATAATTTAATTTAAGAACAAACAAAGAGACAAATAAATTGAAAGAATGAAGGAACAACAACTGCTTATTTGTTTTACTAAAAACTGATGCTAAATTTTAACATTGAAGAACTCTGTCACTGTTGCACTTACAGTATTACTCTCCTAAGTGCAGGTTATTGGGCTGGGCTGGTGTCAATGTTTAAACTTAAATTTTAGTATTAGGAAAATAGTAATATTAATGTGAATATTATTTTTATTATTGCTTTGTAAACTCTATAAAATTATCACTATACACTATTTGTAATAAATTTAACAAAAAGAAAATAAGCTCAATTCCCAAACAGGGCTGTTTACAATTACTAAGTGCTAAACTCGCTCTCAGATTTTAATTTAATTGCAATATAAAAGTATGAAAGGAGTTGAATTGAAAATAAATCAGTGCTCTGTTACAAAAAATGGCTATTTAAAATCGTCATTTTATAAAGGGTGCGGAAATTAATTGATGTTCACACCTATCCTTTGCAACGATTGAAGGTATATCACTTCATGATAATAATATTCTTACACATATTAAAGATCCGACTACATATACAAAAAAGGAAGCAAAATCTATACATTTAGTATATCCTGAATAAACTTTATAACCAAATTCGGCTATTAGTTGTTAAACTGTCAACTAATTAATGCGATAAATTTGATTGGCGTGTTTGTTGAACCATGCACTTATGGAGATTTTTTACATTAATACGGGGAGGTGGGCTAAAAATGACATGCACTTATTGTATTACTTATCCATAGGTCTCAACGGTGAGACCAGACTATTCCTGCAATTAGTAATTAGAGAGATACTGCACTTATACTTAAAGATTCATCGCGCGCGCAATATCCGCACGGTGTGTAACACTGCACTGAAATCTACCGCAGACGAAGCCACGTTGGCGAAAACTGTTTCGACCACAGTTATCCGGACTATGCATGCGAAACTTCTGCAGACAGCCACTGATTACGATGGTTATTCGGATTACTATTACAAAAACGGTGGCTCGCGGGAAACTTTTCTCATGTGAGGTTATACATAATACTCCTACTCGAGAAATCGCAGTTGCCAGATCCGCAGAGACAGGAGCTCAGAGCATGACCTTAACTTCAGGCATGTGTCCGCAGTTTGGTATGCCTTTATTAATTACGTCAATAGTATAGCTTTGCCATCATTGTACTGAGCTTAGAATAATATATATAACTTTATAGTTTTGGCATTGACATGCGTCCAACAACGACTAAGCCAACAATTGGAATTAGGAAAGCAACTTTCACTGATTTAGGACTTTGTTTATGGAGCACAGCTGACCTGCTTGCCTATTGCAATGATCCTGACATGACAGCTTACCATTACAATGCTGGGCAGGCTTGAGAAGATTGAATGAAGATACTTCACAGGAGAAGTTTGCCAATGGAGAAGTGGGAAGCAAAAAGACAGATGAGCTTGAATAATGAGCATTTATTTTATCAATAATTTATAGTACTCAAAGATATAGACGAGTTCAACAGTGATAGTACTAGTACTCAAAAATTAACATTATCATTATGCAACATTATATTGACAGTACTAGTATTTGAAGATATAAATGAATCCAACAGTGATAGTGCTCAAAACTAACATTATCATTATGCAACATTTATATTGACAGTACTAGTATTAGAAGATGTTAATATAAACGAGTTCGATAGTGATAGTAATAGTGCTCAAACTAACATTATCATTATGCAACATTTATATTGACAGTGTTAGTACTTACTAGAAGATATAAATGAGTGTATCAAAAATTAACAACATTTACATTATATTGACATACTATAATTATATCCCTGATTAGTTTAGTCTTGTTTAGATCTTTGCTCTATTTGTGTAATAGCTGTCTAAAACAAAAAACAGTTTAGCAGTCATAATAAAGTGTTATGTCAAACAATTTGACCCTGTGATAGTTCCTGTATAGTAATAGGCCATGGTGTATTTATATTCAGTGTAGTTTTTATTTAATATTAAAGCAAGTTAGAAACATGCATCACTGTTGCCTACAAGTTGATCATACATTTGGATGAAGACAAGTTCTTCAAAACTTTGTAAACTTAAAGTAAACTTAAGGTTTGTAATTACATATGACAGAAATGCTGTTCATTTGTGATGACCACATTCTAGCACAAGCATTATCATAGCATACCAAAAGTAATGGGTGGGTGGAAAAATTCAATGAGTTAAAATGTAAGCATAAACACAATACATTTAACATTTTTTGACCTTTTCAGTAAATATATTGACAGATTTGAAATTGAGATATTAATATCTTCACAGCAGATAGCAATACAGTACCTATTACTCAATTTCATATAAGTGTTACACAAAATAATGGTATAATACTGACATGGATTTTCCCTTTGATAACAATATGATAGCAACACAACAATTGCAATAATAAATAAGCATATGCACTTTGTTAAGTTCTATCATGTTATAGTAACAGACTGTGGACAAAATGTTTAGTTATTATTATAGAGTTAAGTTGTATGCTTTTTTACCTTTGTGCACAGATTCTTTTAAAACTTACATAGCAAATTCAGGACAAACACATAGAATTGATGACAAATACATCAATAAATATCTTGTAAAAATTTGGCAAATAACATATTTACACAGACAGAGATATCTAACCCATGCAGCATCAAACCAAATAATTATTGTAACACTTATATGAAATTGCGAGTCATGTGAATGTTCAGTGACTGTTATACAGTTTCATTTAACATAAATTGTAGATTGACATTGCTATGTCTCAAAGAGCAGAAATAATAATAAACACAGAAGTACCAAAATTGAGTTGGTTTAACTTGCACTTTATTTTGCATTTATGCATCATAAATTTGATCTAAATTGGGTAGACAAGTAGTAAAAGCACATACAAAGTGTTGAAAGCATTTTTGGAAATTTTTAAGGATTTAGCTGCGCCTTCGAAAGTGCTCACCACAGTGATAGCTGTCACAAACAGTTAGTAACTTGTAAATTAAGCTTTTACAAGCTTAATTCTAAATGCTAAACGCTTATGCATTTTTGGAATAATGGAGTTCCGATCTAAAACAGAACTACTACTACTACTACTACTACTGACGGATCACACGATGGTAGTCGATCTTAGTAAAAAAAGTAACGCGCGTTAAGTATTAGCTTCCCGGTATATACGGATTATTCATAGTCACCTTAATAAAGGACACACAAAATCAAGAAAAGTATTAAAAAATAGAATATAACGTATCGAACGTCTTCGATGTGAATGCCTCCCGATGAATACTGTGACACACAGATGCTAAGTCTACGCTGTCGATTTCACATTGATTCTGATCCCAATATCGAGAAGCTCATTGTTTCATAAGAATCAGCGTTGCTCTTCTGTACATATTGCGAATCTTAACAATATCATTATACGTTTTCTGTATAGTCTTTTAATTTCCTTTCTTTGATCTTCCACTTGCTATGAGAAGTCTGCTATTAATCATAATTTCTGCTAATTTTCCAACTGACTACGCTCGAGAGCTTTCTTGTTGTCAAGTTCAAAAGAGAATTCACAACATTAGTTACGTCATTGAGCGGCAATCGTTTATTTTCTTGGACAAAACCTACAATACGTCGGTAAAAATGATTAGCAATAATTATATGGTTGTAATGTTTTTGCAAATTCTAAAACAGATAAATATAAAGTTAGAAAGTTCAGGATAGTAATATTAAAACGTAAGATGCTTAGCAGTCTCCTGGCTACTACCATGACGATGTTTTCAATCTAACTTCCTGTAGTTCTACAAAAAGATATGGAAGGTGCTTTGCTCTTGGTTTCTGGAACGTGGACACTGAAAAGGGTTTAAATCTTGGTCATTAGCTCCCGTTCTCATTTCATCCTAATGAACAATCTACTACTACATAGCAAATCTAGAGTTTTCGAAACTCGTTTCTTTTTTAAAAAAAGCTACACGTGAGGGATTATTAATATTGATGTAAAAAGTTGTGAGAGTCAATCATATTTCGAGAATTCTATCACGGATCTTTCTAGAATCGATTTCCATCTTTGGTATAATCCCGACCGTAATACTAATTTCCAAACAGGTTACACAGAAATTCAGGGGAACATTAACATGTCATCACATTATTATTATAATTATACTATATTAATATACTAATACTGCACAGAATTGCAAGTCAAAATTCAGTTAATATATAATATTACAGTATTTAGTATTAGTATTAATGGAAAAGAATATCCAAAAAGCAGTTGAGCTGTACCAAAAAGCAGCTGAACAGGAACATGCTGCAGCACAATGTAACCTTGGCTGTTTGTACCAGGATGGAATAGGAGTGGAAAAGGATATCCAAAAAGCAGTTGAGTTGTATCAAAAGCTGCTAAACAGGGATATGCTGCAGCACAATGTAACCTTGGCTGTTTGTACCAAGATGGAATAGGAGTGGAAAAGGATATCCAAAAAGCAGTTGAGTTGTATCAAAAAGCTGCTAAACAGGGATATGCTGCAGCACAATGTAACCTTGGCTGTTTTTACCAGGATGGAATAGGAGTGGAAAAGGATATCCAAAAAGCAGTTGAGTTGTATCAAAAAGCTGCTGACCAGGGATATGCTGCAGCACAATGTAATCTTGGTTGTCTTTACCAGGATGGAATAGGAGTGGAAAAGGATATCCGAAAAACAGTTGAGTTGTATCAAAAAGCTGCTGACCAGGGATATGCTGCAGCACAATGTAACCTTGGCTGTTTTTACCAGAATGGAATAGGAGTGGAAAAGGATATCCAAAAAGCAGTTGAGTTGTATCAAAAAGCAGCTGAACAGAGATATGCTGCAGCACAATGTAATCTTGGTTGTCTTTATCTGAATGGAATAGGAGTGGAAAAGAATGCTCAATAAGCAGTTGAGTTGTATCAGGAAGCAGCTGAATAAAGATATACTGAGGCACAAGATTAACTTGCTTAGTATTAGTATTAGTATACTCTGATTAGGATTATTAAAATGCTTGAGAATAGCAGTTTTAGTATATGCTTTTATTTATTTACTTTATATTAACAATATTAAATATAGCCTGTTTCACAACTATCATAACTAAAAAAAAGTTAACTCTGGTATCAGTGTTGTGGCCCTTCTAAGAAGGGGCCAGCCTATTTTAAGATGGGACAATTGCAAATAATTTTTTCATCACAGTAACAAAGCGGGTTGGTAAGCTTTCACATTTGTTTACCTAATACTAACTACAGCCGTTTGCATAACTAAATTCAACTCTTCTTCGCAATTTGACGTTTAGCAATAAGTTGCACAATTATATTGCTTACTATTATCAAAGCACTTTCAATAGACCGTTAACCGATCGAATGATATCTATGACAAACCAATAAAATTGTAACGATCTGCATAATCTGTAAGATTAAGACATAAGACAGGCTTTAAGTCGTGTAATTAATTATATGAGTATGCAAATACGGAATCGTAAATCATAGCCTATTTGAAAGTATCGAAGAATACAGAAGCGAAATCATACGGTTCACGGCCTACTGAAATATCGACAAAATAAAAACACAAGACAGATCATTAAAGGTCGCAAATCATACGATTCTGAAATATCGACAGACGCAAGACAGATCGTTGAGTCGTAATGATTGATCATATTGAGTATGCAAATGCAGAATCGTAAATCATACGACCCGCAACTCATCCTACTAATTCATAAATTAATCAAATGGTAAATATTATGCAGAATAGAGCGAATAGAAGCAATAACAGTCGCTAAATTAGTAAATAAATTTGATTTTCTCAAACAACTAACAATTCAAATTTTATTAACAACGATAGTGACCTTTTTTGATAAAATTACATGGAAATTTAACATATTAATAGTAATAGAAAGTTAAATCACTTATATATTAGACTTGAATACCAGTATTATATATATATTGTAATTGTAGTTAACATGCATTTAAACTACGGCAATTGCGTGTCAATTCATTTTATTTTGAAGTTCATCATATGAATTGTTATTAGTCTTGACTAGTTTTGACATACACTAGTCGTAAAATATGTTCCGGGTAGAACTTTTATTTGTCTAAATGCAGATAGTATTATAATCTAGCCACCCAACCGTGAACTACAGTTCAAAATTTTGAGTCACTAAATTAACGAGATACGAACGTTAGACCGTAACTTCAAATATTTAGTTCCAATTTTTGCTTTGGTCCGAGAAACCATTACTCAATTTTATCAACATAACCCAATTGTTGCCATCATACCTGCAGCTGAATCATAATTGTTTCTTGGTTTGGGCAGATCTCCGGTAGGTAAAAGCCTACTGAAATATTTGCTCTCCTTTTCGAGACGTGACAACGGTTTTACATCATTATGATAGATAATATCCCATGCGTTGCTGTCAGCATTATCGTTTTTTTTTAATAAGC